AAGAATCTCACTAATTGGCTGTTCCGCCTGTGTTGCAGCAGACGTTGATGCTGCTCGAGTGCTATGAGGTTTAAAAATGTTTATATCTATGCCAGACAATAGCACGTGTTTGAGCCAACGTCGTAATAAGCAAAGCGGGCTGGATATTTGGTTTATATAAATATATATATATATATATTTATATAAACCACCACTTAAAATGAGATGGATCCCAAGTTATGTACAAAGACGCAAAACATTCTTCTATAACCCGTTCATGAAAAACAAGACGCCGTTCTGGCGTTAACTCCGGCGCACGTGCCAGTCTTCAATATAGAGCTTCTGAACATAAACAATACGGTTCGCGTATTGTTTCGCATACATATTCGCATTTAGATGCCTTGCGAACCTAAATGTTCGATCGCGGAATTCAGAAGCACATCGCAGTATAGAAGTTCAATTGTTCAAAAATGTAAATAAACCGCATGATACATTCGCTTCGTCTTACACTTTGCCTTTAGAATTCGCGCTTATATAGTTGTATTAAATCTTCGATCCTGTGCAAACTACGCGACGTGTCAACGCGCCCATACACGACCTCATCATCTTGTTAAACGGCGACATAGCAGTGATATTATTAAAATAGGACCGGGTCTACATGTATTAAATATATTCTTACCCCAATTCAATCTAAACTTAATCGAACAGCATGAAAAGAACGGTTTATTTGTTCCTCTTGGAGGAATTGCCGTATCATGCGAGCGAAATCGAATCGCGCATTGCAAAATTAGCCAAAGCTGTGCACCACAACTCTTGGGAGATAAGACTGGGACGTAGATAAATACGGTCGCATACACATTTTAAATACTTGTATATTTCGCGCCATAACAGACTTGCGACGACGAAAATTAAAAAATAGGTACGCAATGCGTACATGTGGGTAGCCTGTAAAACATTATTAATGCGACAAGTGAAATATTGCATTATAATTTATAAAACAGGGCAACTTGTTACTACCATTTGCGGAATTATAATTTATAAAACACGGCAACACGACAACTCCTACCATTTGCATTAAGGTATTGTATTTGGTTTAATAGCTGCATGTCCACAAGCAAGAAATTGACAGGTGAAATATTGCATTATAATTTATAAAACAGGACAACTTGTTACTACCATTTGCCTAATTATAATTTATAAAACAGGACAATTTGTTACTACCATTTGCCGAATTATAATTCATAAAACAGGGCAACTTGCCAACTTGTTACTACCATTTGCAATAAGGTAATGTTTTTGGTTTAATAGCTGCATGTCCACAAGCAAGAAATTGACAGGTGAAATATTGCATTATAATTTATAAAACAGGACAACTTGTTACTACCATTTGCCTAATTATAATTTATAAAACAGGACAACTTGTTACTACCATTTGCCGAATTATAATTCATAAAACAGGGCAACTTGCCAACTTGTTACTACCATTTGCAATAAGGTAATGTTTTTGGTTTAATAGCTGCATGCCCACAAGCAAGAAATTGACAGGTGAAATATTGCATTATAATTTATAAAACAGGACAACTTGTTACTACCATTTGCCTAATTATAATTTATAAAACAGGACAACTTGTTACTACCATTTGCCGAATTATAATTCATAAAACAGGGCAACTTGCCAACTTGTTACTACCATTTGCAATAAGGTAATGTTTTTGGTTTAATAGCTGCATGTCCACAAGCAAGAAATTGACAGGTGAAATATTGCATTATAATTTATAAAACAGGACAACTTGTTACTACCATTTGCCTAATTATAATTTATAAAACAGGACAACTTGTTACTACCATTTGCCGAATTATAATTCATAAAACAGGGCAACTTGCCAACTTGTTACTACCATTTGCAATAAGGTAATGTTTTTGGTTTAATAGCTGCATGTCCACAAGCAAGAAATTGACAGGTGAAATATTGCATTATAATTTATAAAACAGGACAACTTGTTACTACCATTTGCCTAATTATAATTTATAAAACAGGACAACTTGTTACTACCATTTGCCGAATTAAATTCATAAAACAGGGCAACTTGCCAACTTGTTACTACCATTTGCAATAAGGTAATGTTTTTGGTTTAATAGCTGCATGTCCACAAGCAAGAAATTGACAGCTGAAATATTGCATTATAATTTATAAAACAGGGCAACTTGTTACTACCATTTGCCGAATAAGGCAATGTTTTATTTATTTTCTATTAGTATAACTTTGTAGTTGTAGATTCAACGCTCACCGATCACGGCTTTTTCGTCTTTAAAGTACTCAACTTCCCTTTAAAATTTGACAAACGTATTAATTAACGTAACTTCGATTGCTTCCGTCCTTAGAAAACAACGAAATTTTCCGGAAGTAGAACGTACCGTTCGTCATCTTTCGTATGTCCGACGATTGCCGAAGATGTGGCACCCACACACAAACAACACACAAACACACACACACATCCGGACAACACCACGGAAAAACGTCTGCGCACGCGTCAACTCTGCTTGTAAGTGAGATTAAAAATAATTAAGAAGCGTTTCCGAACGTTTACGAAGGCTAAAAATGGCGGTAAAAAGGAGTGATTTCATTCGTGTCTTCAAATCCATATTTCGACGGCATAAATAAACACTGCATTATAGAAACTAAGAGAAAAAACGTCCAGAGAGTCCTAGAAGTGGCATCCTACAAAAACACCGATAAAAGGTGACTGTTAACAAATTTTTCGTCTCAAACATTTTGTTTATCAAATAAGCAACGACAGTTTCCGAACTTTTAATTGAGACACGTTTTATTAAAAAAAAATATGTCGCCAGATACGAGACGTTTGCGTGTTCTCCATGATTGAAGATTAAGATGTATTTTACAATTTAAATAGATTAGAAAGCTTAACTTTCCGCGGGTTTTCTTAACTTTTAGGTTTAAACTTTTGTTTTCGAAAAATATTCTAGAGCCACCCAGTAAAAAAAGGATAATTTACCGTGAATTCCAGTTCGTTCGATACTCTAAATGCTAGAAGGCTTTTAATTTATGTTCTGTCTGGCCGTCTTGTATATTTTTGCCTTTTCTTAACTTATATTTTATCAAATAATGGGATGTTTTGTTCCAAAAGTTGATATTTAGATTTACCATCATATTTTGATATTTCGGCGCGTGCGCAGACATTTTTCCGCGGTGTTCATCCGGACACTTTTTCGACTACATAGTGGTTAGCTGCGCATGCGCAGGCTACCCACAAAAACCAGCGCGAATTTTCAACTCCGTCGCTGACGCCGGAGTAATAATTTTTCATTTTGACTAATAAGTATGGAAATAAGCCATAACGCGTGAACGAGGCTCGCGGTAAATTTTAATTTTTGTATTGTTTTGGTAATTATTTGTTACCCGATATGGTAGACTGCACACAGGCTACATATATGAGAGGTATATCCAAATCATATTTCCTCTGTGGCCCTGGCGTAAAGTGCGTTCAGCTTGTTGCTTCCGAAGAAACGTTCATCGATTGCTGTAGCAAATTATTTATGATTATAATATCATTGAAAGAAAAACTTTCTCGCTTAACAGCATATCGTCTTATAAAGTGGAGTTACAGGGCAAATAATGGCGGATGTCAGATATCTTTAATGGATTGTAAAGTCAACAAGACGCCTGCTCAAGGCGTTACTCCGCCTGCAGGTGAGCAAACACTACAGGTGACAAAAGGTTACAAAATGAGGTGCTTTTTGTACTGTTGCCTGTCAAACTGTTGTCTGTCATACTTTTGGGATTTTTTGTTATACATTTTGTATTCATTAATATGAGATCATTCATAAATGCATCTTTATTCATTGATGTAACTTTATTTAATGATGTAACTTCATTCAGTTGCTTAACTTTGTTTAATGATGTAACTTCATTAATTAATATAACTTTATTCATTGTAACTTCATTGTTGGCATTCAAAGGTAAGTTGGCATTTAAAGTTAAGTTGGCATTCAAATGTGACTTGGTATTCAAATGTGACTTGGTATTCTAATGTGACTTGGTATTCAAATGTGCATTCATGGAATTCACACTCAGGGAAATTAATTTTTTTGCAACTTCCTGCGAATGAGCACCAAAGCCTGTGAATTAGAACAAAAATAAAGTTTTATAAGTTTGGCAAATCAATCCTGTAATAGGAACAGTTTTAATACCCCTTTTAACCCTGTTATCGCTCGCTACTCTGGTTTATATAAATGATCACAAAGCCTGGTCAAATTGTAATCAGGACCTAATGTTTCGACAGTCCAGTCAACTCTAGTGTCTTCATCAGGGGTGATCTAAAGCTGGAATCAAAGCTTCTTAGATACCCAAGGGATGATGTCACCTGCCAAAGACTGGTTGTCAAAATGTTGGGTCCTGATTACATACAATTCGACCAGGCTTTGAAATCATTTATACATTTAAAATAGACTCTAGTAAATAGAAATATCGAAATCCCTACCCATGCAGGGTCGCTAAACTTGAAGTATCTATAATTTCTGAGAGCAAACAGTACTTTGTATATACCTAGTTTGTATTAAAACACTACGTCAACGTGAATCACTAAATCAACTATAAAACAGAAAATCTTGGGTTTACTAATATATGCAATTACCGCCACAGCATATGAATACAATCTAAATCTTAACAACTTACCTTTGTAGTTGTTGAACATGGTTGTGAAAGCTCTTTCAATTCGACATTCATATTTTTCAATTTTTCACAAGGAAAGAACGTCGATTCAAACACGAGGCACAAGGACTCGTAAAAAAATAAACATTGCACAAAATCACCCCCAAACCTCCCTAAATGCCAACTGATGTACATAATTCATCCGTGTAACCCAGGGCTTCTCGGTCAAAATGTTTTGGGTTACCTGTAGAAATGCCAACTTCTGTGTTCTGTCGCCCAAAACTACGACGAAAAGGAAAAAAGACCATGGCATTTTAAGACTCCGCTGCGCATACGCAGGCGGAGTAATAATTGTGACTATTTTGCTACACCCGTTCACCCCGAGCGATTAACTCGAGCAAATCAGTGAGCAAGATTTCTTCGGAACCTTCGTCTTAACGGGTCTTTCTCAGGTACGGTCTCCGCGGATAAATTTCTCGTATGTTTTAGAAATATGAAAACCAAATTTACAATGACTAGCCACGTTAATAATTTTTCACAATTGAAGACAGCGTGCCTAACATCGCATCCCAATTATTAAATATTTTAATTGGGTTTGTGTATTTTAGGGTCGTTAAACTAGGAGTGAAAAAATTGGCTTAAAACATGAATTGTCTCCACACCATATACAAAATGAAATCAAGCTTACAGGGTTGAGGGGTGTTCTGTATTTATAGTTAATATCCCTATCTTTTGCTGAGGGTTCCTAAACAATTTCTAAAAGGATTCAAAGGGATCTTTGAAACCTGAAAATTCTCTGGAGGTCGATACTTTAAAACCTTTCAATAGCATTCAGTCATTCACAGCATAATTATATTTGGTTTGCTTGTGAATAGTTACATATGACTATAGTAAAAGGGTTTAATTTACTTAATTGACCTTAGAGCCTACAGAATACATTGTAAATACCAAGATTGTTGGTGCTGTATTAATCATTGCTAAAATATACTGAAAAATGATGGGAAAAGTATTGCTTATTGATTATACTGTACCTGTCCTAAAACTAAAAGTATACTTATTTGGCCATAGCACATTTGATGAAATGCATTGACCAAACTGTTTACAAAGCTGGTTTTTATATTGTTGTTTGAATCCTTAAACCTGCCATAATTTTTTTCCATTTTATGAGCGACACAAGAATTTTTCTAAGAGAGGGAAGGACTTCTCTTAAATTATGCTATACATAAGTTTTTTTAACACCAACTAGTGTAATTGTGAACAATTATTATGCTTATGATTAAGCATTGCATTGAGAGGGAGTCTGAAATGAGTGAAAAACATTCCGATGCATTAAATATTGAAAGTCAGTTAGTTACTGTAAGCTTAGTGTTCTGTCAAATATTGGTACCAGAAATTATAAGCTTCACTTGATTAGTGCTAACGGCATTCTGTGAGTAACTTAGAGTAAACATTGCTCTTGGCATTGGCAACAATTTCAAAAAGAAAAAGTTAAACCACTAATAAATTGGAATATAATTATACCACACAACGATAAAGTTGTGGTCAATACAATTAATATTAGCATTCCATTGTTAATAGCATGCAGTATAATTTTGAGTATACAGTAGCTTTACTTTTGTAATAATTTTGGCTACTTTTTAAAGGATGTAGCTGAAGTAGCTGATATTTTTTGCAAAGTAATTTGTCAAATCCTTAGAAATAAAACAAACAATACCAAACAGAAATTTCAAATGTTGCAAAATAGCACTGATATATTGTATGTGTTGAAAACCATTCTATTTAAACAACACTATAATGAAAACATTGCTGTTGAATCTTCTGCTTAAATGCTTTTCAGCCTTGGTCAACAAAAAGAATCTTGACATAAACTTCTAGGTTGTTAGCCAGTTGTTGAAGCTGCCTTCCTGATTCCTGGTTGTTGCTCTCTTGTACTCCATGAAAACTGTAGCAAACCACAGCATGTTTAAGTTGCCTCAACCTTAAGATTGCATAGGTTTTCTGAGGTTTACTAAAAGCATGTTAATTTTTTAGATGTACAGAACCTATGAAGTATGCTGAAACAAGTGCTTCAATTACACTCTGGTCCTTTCACTCTAATATATGATGTGCAGCATAAAATGTCTTGAAACAGATATGGGTAATGTAAAAGTGTTGTGGTTGCGGAAAAGTGCAAACTAAGGCTTGGACAGGAATGAGGTAACCGATTTTTGCTTCTCTACTGATAGTTCATTGGGCAATGTTACGATTGTGTCAGTCCTGTTCTGTAAAAGAAGAGCAACCTTCTTGCTGATCTTGTTTCATTCCCACTCTTTCAAAGGAGTAAACAAGTTGTTTATTCAAGATACCCCAAAATGACAATCACTTACTTTCAGAGATCAGTGTGGTCGGGGCTAAATTGTGGGGGATATGATTTTTTCCTTCCTGCTTTTTTATATGTTTTATCTAATAGTTTGTGTTGTGATGTCCTGTTGCATGACATTTCAGATGTACATAGTTGTTGTTATTACTATAGTAGCTACCTAAAAAGTCAAAACACAGGCAGCACAATGTCATTTGAAATGATATATTCTCTGTACCTTACCAGGTACATACCTTTTTCTAAAAAATGCGTTAAAAACAGCTTCTTAGCCAACGGCAACACATTGCAAAAAATCAAATTAATGGCTATGAATTCTTTGACTAGGTGAAATATACTGGAACTCACAAAGTACATTTAAGCCTTTAAAATTTAATTGCATTCGCGCATGTTGAAAATCTCTATAAACAAGTCAGGTTTTCTGCTACGCTTGTCTACGATCTCACACTCTTTGACTGTTTATCATTTTACATTTACTCAGAATTGAACACTTTACGACATAACTCTATGGTACTGTCTAACCACGATACTACAATTCACGATCTCATGCACACAACACTACAACAATGATTTTAACCTATATTTGTAATAAAAAACAGGATGCTTTATTAATCAATTATGCATTTCACTATAGGTCCTTATAGGATGTTTCTCTGTAGTTTTACGCTCCGCTACAAACCTCATTCGCGTCCTCTTAGGCCTGCATGTATGTTTCCTATGCTATATAGCTATAGTACTATCCCTATGCATGTTTCCTATGCTATATAGCTATAGTACTATCCCTATGCATGTTTCCTATGCTATATAGCTATGATACTATCCCTATGCATGTTTCCTATGCTTTATAGCTACGATACTATCCCTATGCATGTTTCTTCTGCTATATAACTATGATACTATCCCTATGCATGTTTCTTACGCTATATAGCTAGGATGCTATCCCTATGCATGTTTCCTATGCTATATAGCTATGATACTATCCCTATGCATGTTTCCTATGCTTTATAGCTACGATACTATCCCTATGCATGTTTCTTCTGCTATATAACTATGATAATATCCCTATGCATGTTTCCTATGCTATATAGCTATGATACTATCCCTATGCATGTTTCCTATGCTATATAGCTATGATGCTATCCCTATGCATGTTTCCTATGCTATACCTATGATACTATCCCTATGCATGTTTTCTATGCTATATAGCTATGATGCTATCCCTATGCATGTTTCCTATGCTATATACCTATGATACTATCCCTATGCATGTTTCCTATGCTATATAGCTATGATGCTATCCCTATGCATGTTTCCTATGCTATATACCTATGATACTATCCCTATGCATGTTTTCTATATGCTATATAGCTCTGATACTATCCCTATGCATGTTTCTGATGCTATAATTTTATAGCTATATGATACTATCCCTATGCATCTTTCCTATGCTATATAGCTATGATACTATCCCTATGCATGCAATTTCTAAAAGCATGTTAATTTTTTAGATGTACAGAACCTACTAAAGTATGCTGAAACATGTGCTTCAATTACACTCTGGTACTTTCACTCTAATATATGATGTGCAGCATAAAATGTCTTGAAACAGATATGGGTAGTGTAAAAGTGTTGTGGTTGCGGAAAAGTGCAAACTAAGGCTTGGACAGGAATGAGGTAACCGATTTTTGCTTCTCTACTGATAGTTCATTGGGCAATGTCATGATTGTGTCCGTCCTGTTCTGTAAAAGAAGAGCAACCTTCTTGCCGATGTTGTTTCATTCCCACTCTTTCAAAGGAGTAAACAAGATGTTTATTCAAGATCCTCCAAAATGACAATCACTTACTTTCAGAGATCAGTGTGGTTCTGGCTTAATTTTGGCTGATATAATTTTTCCCTTCCTGCCATTTTATATGTTTTGTGTAATACTTTGTGTTGTGATGTCCTGTTGACATTTCAGATGTACATAGTTGTTGTTATTACTATAGTAGCTAAAAAGTCAAAACACAGGCAGCACAATGTCATTTGAAATGATATATTCTCTGTACCTTACCAGGTACATACCTTTTTCTAAAAAATGCGTTAAAAACAGCTTCTTAGCCAACGGCAACACATTGCAAAAAATCAAATTAATGGCTATGAATTCTTTGACTAGGTGAAATATACTGGAACTCACCAAGTACATTTAAGCCTTTAAAATTTAATTGCATTCGCACATGTTGAAAATCTCTATAAACAAGTCAGGTTTTCTGCTACGCTTGTCTACGATCTCACACTCTTTGACTGTTTATCATTTTACATTTACTCAGAATTGAACACTTTACGACATAACTCTATGGTACTGTCTAACCACGATACTACAATTCACGATCTCATGCACACAACACTACAACAATGATTTTAACCTATATTTGTAATAAAAAACAGGATGCTTTATTAATCAATTATGCATTTCACTATAGGTCCTTATAGGATGTTTCTCTGTAGTTTTACGCTCCGCTACAAACCTCATTCGCGTCCTCTTAGGCCTGCATGTATGTTTCCTATGCTATATAGCTATAGTACTATCCCTATGCATGTTTCCTATGCTATATAGCTATGATACTATCCCTATGCATGTTTCCTATGCTTTATAGCTACGATACTATCCCTATGCGTGTTTCTTCTGCTATATAACTATGATACTATCCCTATGCATGTTTCTTACGCTATATAGCTATGATACTATCCCTATGCATGTTTCCTATGCTATATAGCTATGATACTATCCCTATGCATGTTTCTTACGCTATATAGCTATGATGCTATCCCTATGCATGTTTCCTATGCTATATAGCTATGATACTATCCCTATGCATGTTTCCTATGCTTTATAGCTACGATACTATCCCCATGCATGTTTCCTATGCTATATAGCTATGATACTATCCCTATGCATGTTTCCTATGCTATATAGCTATGATACTATCCCTATGCATGTTTCCTATGCTATATAGCTATAGTACTATCCCTATGCATGTTTCCTATGCTATATAGCTATGATACTATCCCTATGCATGTTTCCTATGCTATATAGCTATGATACTATCCCTATGCATGTTTCCTATGCTATATAGCTATGATACTATCCCTATGCATGTTTCCTATGCTTTAAGCTACGATACTATCCCTATGCATGTTTCCTATGCTATATAGCTATGATACTATCCCTATGCATGTTTCCTATGCTATAGCTATGATACTATCCCTATGCATGTTTCCTATGCTATATAGCGATAGTACTATCCCTGCATGTTTCCTATGCTATATAGCTATGATACTATCCCTATGCATGTTTCCTACGCTATATAGCTATGATACTATCCCTATGCATGTTTCCTATGCTATATAGCTATGATACTATCCCTATGCATGTTTCCTATGCTATATAGCTATAGTACTATCCCTATGCATGTTTCCTATGCTATATAGCTATGATACTATCCCTATGCATGTTTCCTATGCTATATAGCTATGATACTATCCCTATATATGCATGCAATTTCTACTACACTTTTATAATTACAACATAGATCCTTACAATACATAATTATACGAACTTTACAATATGGTTCCCTGTAGTAAAATGATAGCAGCAGTAATATGCTAGCTACTTGCCTGTTGTGAAGTTTCGTTGGGTTGAGGTCTTAACTGCCTATTCGCGGGTGGACATATAAGGCTTGTTTTCGTATAACCGTTGCAACATAGCACCATCACTGCCATATTGCCCAGGGGCCAAGGATGGTACAACCAATGATGTGTGCACTGACATTACCAATTCAATGTCAACACTATCAGGGATTTTTCCATCAAATGCTTCAATATTGGCAAGGTGGACTTGCACTGCATTCATTGCCTTGGTGAAATGGCATCCTGAAATCACATGGCTCTTCTCCATCAAGGTTAGGCGACTTCCCTGACGTGGCACGATGGTAATATCAGGACCTGACGAGAACACCAAGTCGCGCATGAACGGTCTTGTGTCTGTGACCTTTGGCCTCGACGAAACACTTCTCTGCCGCTGGCGTTGCGATGGAACTGCCGTCTCGCCAAACAGCTGTCATAGCACTGATAGCAGGCGTTGTAGCTGTAGTTGAACTTGGACCATGTGTCCGTGTAGGTTCTGGCAGAGTCTCGACCACAGCTTGTTGCGTATTCTCATTTTGCGCCATTTCCGTTGAGCAGCTGCGACGTTGTAATTGGGGCCCCAGGCTTCTAGCCTCGCCAATGCCGCTCTGATAAGCTCTAATTCACGGTTTTTCCAACTGCATGAAGCGCTTCACAGTTTCTACCCTCGCAAGCATAAACTGAAAAAACAATTTCATTGAGATAATGTATGCCTTCAATGTCTGAGGTTTTCTTGGCGTTTTTAGCTTGTCATTGCCAAGGAAGAAATTCGTTCCGACGAGATCGATTGATTTGTCTTGCCACATTATCGATATGTCCTCCGCGTTTGGCTAGATTTCGTATATAATGCGGCACACACGACTCACATGATCTCGCGCATCTGAATTCTTCCTCCCCTTCCCCTCGAAGCTTTGCAGATGGTTTTCAAAAACTCTCAAGATCTTCATCTGGCTGGTGACTTTTAGTGTGCGATGAGGTGGTTCAGGTCTTGGTCGGGGCTCCCTAAACACGCGGTACTCGCTTATCATATACACAACTCGACCATCGAATACAATACTCGACCAGCTTTTGTCCAGTTTGGCTTGCCATATTCCGCAACACAATCCCCCAGCCTGACACTACGAGTCAAGCATTTCGATTGCATTGCGCATCTAGCGCTGCCTTTCTCCATTGCAACGTGTGAATGTCAATAAAATCTATCTCATGCATGATCAGTTCTAACACATAATACGCTACATGCAATATAATACATAGAATAACATGTAGTCATCGATATCTCTTAGCGTTTCATCGTCCCCGAAAGGAATGGTGTCTAAAGTATCGTCGTCGCTGTGAACGTTTAACTTGATTTGGCTCTTCGGGCAATGTCTGACCCAGAAGTGAGGCAAAGTCACGAATGATAGGTATGATATTGTACATTCTGTTGGTTCTGTCGCGAAACCTCGCCTCTCTGCATGTTACGCTGCTGCTGGCACCAGATTCAACGAATACCACAATTTGGGGACTGTAGTTTTTTACGTTTATTAACACTCTATGTACAGGTATATTCAGTACACACGTAGTGCACGTCGATAACACAATACTCTTAAGACAACACGCTTAAGGACACACTCGCTCTGAACACGACGTTGCGGTTACAACACACCACACAATACAACTAATAACCAATCGCCAATCCAACTCAACTTCCCTAAAGTTTAAAATTCTACTTATATTTATACTAAAGATAGGGGATATTATTCTATTTTCGCTTCAACTTCCTTTGCGCAATTTATGCACGTCCCAGGATGTTTTATCCCCGCAACGCGGTTAACTCTCTAACCACACTGCCCCCATTCTTCCATCTGTTTGCGTTAGCGTGTGGGACAGCGGTTTCCTTCCTCGTGGTTGGACGTGCGTATGCATGTGTTTGTGCGCATTATTTCGCCTGTTTAAAAATTTATTATATTTTGATATAAATGAATATAATTATATGAATATATATAATACACAACAACTCTACTGACAAACAAGACATTTGACACGTTTTCACAACAGGTTCTGAGTAGGGTACATTTGGTGTTGTTATAGATGTCGTTGCCTCGTACCACTGCTCCTCTAAACATAGAATACAACCAACAGAAAAGCACGATGAGCAAGCAGCAGCCGGTTACATGGTCTTGTTAAGGCATATCGTGCAATTAAAAATCTTGCCCAACATCTCTTTAGCCCGCTCTTCTACGGTCGAACTGGGGGTAGTAGGATGACGAATGGTACTGATTGACGCCAGAGGAACTGGTTCGTCAAAATCCTCATCAGGAGAGAGTCGGACACTATATATAGACGCCTAAAATGCTCTTAAGATATCGCCTGGTTTTCTTTTCTTGGTCGCATTAGATTTTCTTCGAATTCGAAATGTTTGCGACTTGGTTCTCTCTTATGGCTACTATTTTTCTATTCCTTCTCCAAAATTGGGAACCTTGCGGGAAAAACCGACATAAATGTAATATTATAATATGCTTCTATATCCGGCTGTAACCATGCTTCATGCTACTTCGTACGTTCATTAATATATTTAGGATATAATATCAGATCTTAGTGACTTAGTTGTCAATATTTTTGAACATGCAGCCTGACAGATTTCGCTATATGTCTATACTTGTTCTTATAAGTAAATCATATACTTCGATCCATGTGCGATTATATACAGCTAACTATATATATTTTTAAGAAGATAAATTGTTTTACTATAAACATCAGATCGATATAGTTCCCATTTTCTGCTTTAAAATTAAAAAAGTCAACTCACCGATAAAGTATATACTTCAATGGATGGTAACTAAGTAGTTTATGATTACACTATGCAAAAACATAGAATTTATAATCAGTTTCATGACAACACATGCACGGATAAATTAGGTATATAAAAGACTCGAAACGCTAGCTATTAATTACCTGTTGTACTTTCGCATGGCATGACTGGCAAATACTTAACGTCCAACAATTTCACGTCGTAACCGAGCTGGGCTTTTCACAAATTTTCAATGCCAGTCACACTAGCATGATATGTCAGATGTATCTGGTATTTTTCCGTCACATCGCCACCGCGGCTGACTTCTTCCACCCAGCCAAGGTTCTACTTAAAGCGTGGTTGTTGTCAACTATATACAGTATGTCGATTGTTTATTTGCAGGCCACAAGGTCGTGGGTTAAGGGAGGTTCTTGCTTTTGCCGGCTGGTAAGATAATTACAATCTTCTTGGCGAAAATTGATGCGTTGGGTTGCGATAAATCATTGGGCTTGTGGCTGTTGTTCCGAGTGCACGCGTATC